AATATAGCGTGATATTATGGTACAGTGTCTTAATGTGCCGTGTATGAAAATGCTAATGTACTAATCAGTTTTGTCGCAGAGGTTATGCATTATATGACATACTCCGGGGTGTGCGAACATATTTTTGTATTTATGCGGTAACACGTAGGGAGCACCAGCTCCTGAAACATCCTTCGTGATGAGCGCGGGGTGACTCTAGCGAACAGAGCGAGAACTACTTGACGCTGTAGGTGCCTAACTTCCATGGAGCGGCAGCCCGCTTGAATGGTCCTCTAGGCAAATAGGAGCAGGGGCCGAGGATGAAATCTGCTTATGACGTTTAACGACGGTAGATGTTTCGAGACTGTTCATAAACAGCGCGAATGCTGCTGCCTTCAGGGTTGTGATCTTCGCATCTGTTCTTCTAGTTCAGTCCTTTCGTATGTCACACAGCTTGCCAAAATTCGCCTATGCCGGTCCAGTTCAGCGGTTCATTTAATGACCAGCTTCGTCATTATTGGCCAACACAGTTCCAAGGTATTTGAAATGGACCACCTCTTCTATCGTAATGCCGCTCCAAAATATCAATGGACTGTCGGTCGTGCGGATGCTCTCATAGCCTTCGCCTTTGTGGCATTCGCATGTGGCCCCATTCCCACTACGGTGTTGCACACTCGAGTATCTCGAGCTGCGCCGCTGACTAACGTACAGTCCTTCATTGTTATTTCAAAGGACAAACTTCTGCAAAACGTGGTCCATCGGGATGCTGAGCAACAAAGGGGCGAACCCCTGGCCTTGGTGAACTCCACTGGTAATGCTGAATCAGTCCGGAAGCGATCCTTCAGTTCGGATAGTGCATTTATCCCCTAGTACATACCTTCTGTTTGATGTACCGTCACCGGTGAAATTCCATAGTGACGAATAACACGTCACTGTGTATTCGTGAACGGAATCGACGGCTGTCCGCAAGTCCAGAAGCGTCGCGTGTCAGGAAATTAATAATTTACACGTACTGAATTACATCCGTCTCCTTCCAGAAGAAGAACGAATTCAGTGCTCTGTGGTCTGACCGAGTCCAACAGTCCTACTTTCACAGTCTAGAAAATCATCCTTTCATATTAGATTGATGTGCTAGATCATCTTGTAATGCTTAGAATAGCAACTGCATCTCTCGAAGCAAAAAATCCAAGAACTGCAGTTATTCGTTGTCGTGAGCGACGCTGCTTTTCGCCTGAGGGCAAAATCTTAGTGTTTTGCGTGATTAAAGCAGGTTGGTCGAGAATTTCAAAGTATGACTAATGTTTAGAACTGCTGTAAAGCCGACAGTATTCTAATCAACAATGTTTTACTTTGGACAAATAACCAAAATCTGCTCAAGTAGCGGGTAAACAGCCAGTTCATTGTTCAGCAACAATTATGGCCTCTGTTGGTTTTCGGCGGTTCTGTTTTTTCTTTAAGTTACGGTTGTGCCCATGTGCACTGTGCAGTGAATCTTTGCCCTAGAGAATTACCTGTTACAAAGAAACGTTGACGTGAGTAGAGATTTAAACCCGCTCCTCTAAGTTGCTATTGTTGTCATTTTCATCTGAAGCCAAACACAGCTTAGGTGAGCAACTCGAAGTTAGCATCGCAAGCGCAATTGATTCCACTGAGTATGCCTATGAAGCAAGTTTATTGAAGTCGCGACAGATGACATTGACATTCAAACGGATGATCATGATGAACAGCTTGATTTAGCGTTTCTGCGTCGTATTTCTTTAATCTTGACCATCCATTCGCGGTAATAATTTTCGTTCCTCTACTTGTCTTTAATCCCCGAGAAGAGTATTTACGGCGTGCTGCTCCGCCCTTTGCTTCTAGTTGCCAAGGGGGCATTTAAGCAGACAATTTCACCGTACTTGAGCACCTGCAGTGCCAGATGCATCTTGCATCATTTTGTCCGCCGAAGCTACCTCACGCTCATCGCGTACGAGCGGTTGTGCCCCTTATATGCTATCTGATAAACTATTCCTACGCCTGAGTATTTTAATTAGCGAATGACCCTTCCAATATGAGCTTTCAAGGCATCTCCCCCTTCCTCTTAATTGTTTAGAGGGGTCGTATCGACAGGTTAAAACATCGTAGTATTTGAATATCTGCACTGTATTATGCATCTCCCATGAATTTCTCCGCCAGAGGCACGTAGCGGACATCACGAACCACGTTTCTGAAACTGGCACCCATTACATACTACCGCATAAACATCATAACCTGTTCGTACGCCCGAGCAAGTCCATTAACGAGTGTCTCCTCCGAGATCAGCTTTCACGGCGGATTACATCCCTGTCTTGTTTCTAGTTTCCTAGGGGGATTTCATTAGGTCAAGACTCCATATTACTTGAGCACCTGCGGTGCCAGCTGGAACTCGCATCATTTTATATATGCTAGAGTCGCATCGTGCTCACCACGAACGATGTTTCAGAAGATGGTACTCTTGAAATGCTTCCGCATAAACATCCCTAGGTTGTTCGTATGCGCAAGTAGGTCAAATAGCGAATGACTCATCCAAGATCAGATTTCATTGCCTATTGTACAATCCCTTGCTCACGTGGCCTAGAGAAACCGTCTAAGCAAGCCACGGCTCCATTGTGTTTGAGCACCTACAGTACCAGACGCTTCTAACATTATTTTCACAGTTACAGCCATCTCGTGTTCATCACGATCGATGTTTCAGGGGGATGATAGTCTTTATATGCTACCGCATAAACACCATGATCTGTTCGTGAGCCTGAATATGTCAATTAACGAATGACTCCTCCAAGACCAGATTTCATGACGTAATTCACTCCCCTCCCCCGCCCCTCTTGCTCTTAGTTGCCTTCG